TGACAGAATTTTTACATCCTATACCCCTTTAGATTTTGTAGCTTGCTTGCCTCCCTCGAATCCTCATCTTTTCAATGAGGTCTCTAGGCCTTAATCTTGTCGCCTGCCAAGGCCCCGCCCACCGTTGGCGCTAGCTGTTGAGTCGATCCCAATTGTTGAGGGCACCATGTATACGGAGCTCAACTGTTCCACAGGATTCCCTTTAGAAGCAGAGCACCAGGTTTGCCCTCCATGGTGCCTCTCAGTGAGTTCAAATCACCAGCCACTCAGCCACCAATCACGTGTGTTTACACCATCCGGGGACTTCCACAGGACTCCCAAGTGTCACCTTCCCTCGTCAAATGCACACCGTATTGCGACAGACCGCTAGCCAAGTCAACTGAAAACAGTGCCTCAGGCATTCGCTTCCATGGCATCTCCATCACGAGACATGCAGAATGCTCGCATGTGTGTGTGTGGCATGGAACCCATTGCGCTTTACCAAGACTTTCCTTCAAAGACCTCAGCATTCCCCCCAGAGTCCAAGTTCTTGCTTTCCGGGTTCTCCATACGTGTGCTCCTCTGTACGCTTACGCGGATCCTTGGAGCTACAATTGTGATGGATTAACCCCAAACAACCTCATCACCAAGGACTGAAGAGATATGAAGTCCTGCAGACAAGCTCCTCCACTCTGCCTCCCCAACTTTCTTCTTCGACTCCCTCGATCCCAAAGGCATGCATGATTATAAATGCCAGTATTCGGCAACATATATTCTTAATGAAAATCTACAAGAGGAAGCAGAGGCAACATCAGAGGTTCCTGCATTAAATTCCCATGCCTAGTGCCAATAGGCTTCTAAGCTTATGAGAGGCAGCAGGAAGAGGAGAGAAGGTGGGAGAGGTTAAGGGCATTTGCAAGCATAACAAAACTTGTTTTCTCTGGACTCCGACCAGCCCCTCTGGTGCAAGGCTTTTAGAGGTAAACTGATTCACAGACCCTCAGCACATAGCCTTGCATGAGGCTTTTGCTTAAAAATTTTGCACAGTGCACAAGTTCAATGAGGAGTGTAGCTTGCTTTAAATCTAACACCCACAAAGCTGCAGTGCAAGGACTCACACCAGGTAGTGAATTCCAAGTTCCGTGGCTTGTTTGTTTACTACATTCTTCTAAAGTTGCATCCTGAGTTGTAATAGTGTTTTCCAAGCGAAAATGATAGACATTTTATTGGAACAAGATAAAGTATTTCAATTAAAAAAAAGCATTCACAGGCAGGCTTTCTATAATCCAAGGGTAATCAATGACACTCAAGAGAAGGAAAGAAACTGCCCATGACTTACTGGTGGCTCAGTTCTCTTACTTCACATGGCTTGAAGCACCATTCTTTGGCCAGTTTCTCTTGTTGAGATGCGTCTTCTAAAAACACTATCTTTAAAAGAGAGAGCAAAAGAAAAGAATCACAATCACAAATCACCGCTTGAGATAGTTAATGTTTATTATGGGGTTAATTTTAACAGTGACATCATAGGACAAGTTATTAATACTATCTGTCTATATGGCATGGTGGTGACTTGGGTGTTAGCACTGGTGATGGAAGCTATCCCCACTGCTCTTTCAAATAGCAA